AAGGCAGAATACTTTTTTTCTGATTCTAGACTGAAACATAATTTCAAAACCCTGTTTTATTCAGTCTTATAACTTAGAATGTGTGTATTTTTAAATCCTCGATTCTTTTAAGCAGGTATGTCCTACTTGTGCAATTAATCTAATTTCATGAATATACCGTATGTAAATGAAATATTTACATAATATACTGGATACCAGTTACATTGTAACAGCAGCATATTTTGAAAAATGATTCAAGTACATTTATTTTGTTTTCAGGTAGGATTTGTATTAACATTGTATCCAAAAATGCTTTTTGTAATAGTTTGCTTGCATTGCACCATATTTTTTAAGTTAAAACCAACTTTATAATTCAGATTTTTGGCACATCTGCATCCCCTGTTAGTTTAATTGGAAAAAGTAAATATCACAAAATAAACATCAAATGTTTAATGAAAAAAAATGATAATAGCCATATTGAAAAAAATAACCATGAATTACTGCAGGATGTTAATTTACCTTTAGGATTAATCATTTTATAAATTGAACTGATTTGCATCAGTAGTATAAAGAAAATGTTTTCGAGACGCACAGACATATAAATAATAGTGTGAATATTTTTTTTAGATACAAAAAAATCCTCCTTAGTAATTGTCACAGTAGTAAAGACATACAAAAAAAATTAGAAACAAATCAATGTTTTATTTTTGTTGTATTCTGAATATTAATGTTTTCATGAGAGAAAAAAAATCCTGTGAAAATAATCATTAAAAAAATAATCATTTGGACACTTATTGACACACAGCAGCCCTATTAAAATACAACCAAGTAAACCTTCTTCTACTGGTCTATGTTTTATGAAAACCTCCATTAGAGTATCCTTGAATCTTTCATCAAAGACTTCCTGTTTCACTTTGGTATAATGTTTAAGTAAAAAAAAAGTAATTATGCAACTCTGCAAAATAAAAAATAAAAACATATACCTAAAAGAAAAGCACTTTTATATATATTTACAGTCTGAACACTAACTATAAAACTGGAACTGTGACAATACTGGATGAGGACCCAAATTAGTCTCTGCCATTCAAGCTGAAGACGAAAAAAGAAGAACTGCAGCATACGTGCGGCGTCATGTCACTGTTTACATCATCTAAATGCCAGCTGTTTTATTGAGAAACATGTTGCGGGGAAATAGTCAGTTAAACACAAAAAGGTGGAGTTTACTTGCATGGACCTTGACTTTTACTGGAACAGCATGCTCTTTCCAAAAAGGAGTTTAACACTTTATAGGGCACTCAGTGAAATACTTTGAAAATCTACATTTTTTAAATTGTTAGTGTTATTGGAATCCAGGACCAGGCCTTATTACCTTTGTAACATTTAAAATAATGAATGTCAATGTAATAACAAGAAACACCAACTTGCCTGATAATATTAAGAAAAAAAACAGAAATACTTCTAGAATAAATTAATGAAAAACACTCTGAGAGTGAAAGAAACACATTTATTTCGGGGGGGCTTGATCAAAGTGGAGCTAGTCACTCACTGTCGTTTGACTCTAAATTCGGTGGCAGCAAGCTTACCTGTTTCTCTTCAAAACAGTCTTTGAACCTCGGTATGGATCAGTGCTTCTTTCTTCTTGAAACTTGATTGGCCTCTGCAGATGACTGCTCACACTGAGCCTGGTTCTGCAGGTTTTTCCTGTTAAAAGGGAGTTTGTCCTCTCCACTGTCACTGCATGCATGCTTTGTGTGAGGGATTGTTGTTGAGTCAATGACAAAATGCAAACAAATATCTAGTGTTCCCACATGCCGATCCAGGAGGAGCGTGTCCTGCAAAGTCAGGCACAATCTGACTGGATGATCTTTATTGTGAAGCAATCTGAGTTAAACTGAATGATTAAACCTCATGTTTTATGAATTTTACATTTCTGAACATTTATAAACGAAAAATAGGTTTCCATTGGGTACTGTTGAAGAAAAATCCCTGAATCCCTTTTCTTTAATTGATATATCAGTCCATACATGTAAATTGGAAAGATATAAAACCTTTGTGGGGAGAAAAATGTGTGAATGAAAGACTACTGAGGAGCTACAGAATATTTTCGCAGAGGGATGGTTAAGAGTAATCTCTCTGTTTGGTCCAGCTTAATTAATTTCATACTGGAAAAATGCTGTTGACAAAGTATAAACGTCAGGAGTGACAATGCCTTTTTTTTTATAAACTTGTTTTCAATAACTGGATATTCTTTCGCTCCTGAGCTGAATAGCTCTATATAAAATAAAGGTTAGGTTTTTATGCTAATGCTATAAAGTAGGAAATAATTTCAAGTCTTTGCTATAAAAAGCATAATATTTATACCTGCATATAAGGAGGTGCGGCATAGTGGTTAGGGCATAGAGCTTGGAATCCTGATGTTCTGAGTTCAAGCTTCACTCCCACAGACTGGCTCTCTGGGTCTCGGAGCAAGACACTTAACCCATCACTGCTCCCTGGGCGCCCCACGATGGCAGCCCACTGCTCCCCAAGGGGATGGGTTAAATGAAGAGGTAAATTTCTCCAAGTTCAATTATTGTTATATTCAATAAAAAATACCTCTTAACGCTTTTTCACATTCATAATTGTTTTACCAAGGGATCTACAGTCTTTAATTTAATCCAAAAGCTTGCATTTTGATTTTTTTTAACAATGAACATTAGAACAAACAATAAAATAAAACAGCAGAGAAATGCTTTGTTCTTGTGTGATTTGATTCATATACCTTAAATGTCTGTGTGTGTAAATGAGAGACACTTGTAACTGTTTTCTCTTTTATGACGCAGAACAGCAGACAGCAGCAAAGAGCAAACAGGTCCAGAGGTTTTATTATTTGGTACCCGTGAACAGATAACAAGTGCTTTGAGTGTTTTAGATTTATCTTGCTGATTGAGAAACTAAAAGCACAAAATGCCCTGAATATGTAACATGCATAGTAATGTGCTCGCATCATACTAAAGTGTGCTTTCCGATAATGAAATGTAACCATTTTAAATTTACAATGCACTTGGTACGCGGTGTCTCCGCGTTTTGTGCTGAGGATAACATTTGGTACATTGACTCGACTTAAGCATCTCTCTACCTTACATTTAGGAGGTTACTGAGTTCGGTTAATAAGAATAATTAGCATCATGACCTGTACAGTGCATTGCAAATGACCACTAAAAAATAACCGATGAGACTCTTTCAGCGGTGCATTCTGGGGGTTTTTCACTGTTGCAGTCGGTGGCCTCGGGGGTGGGCACTTCTTGTGTGTAGAAGGCAGCAGCCACAATGTTCCTATTGTTTCCTCTTCAGCCAATCTCAAGTTTTAAACATCAATCCATCTTGATAAACAGTTTAGCCGTCTCCTGTGGTCCAACATGCACCATTTTCCACATGACAAACACTCAACAGAGAAACATAAAAATGGCCATTGGTTTAAGGGAATAAATAAAAAGATATACGTGCAATAAAATAAAAAGATATTATCTGACTGTGCAGCATAATCATCAGAGATCAGTCACTTTAATACAAGTGCAACTCAGTAAATCAGAATCTCACGGAAAAGTTGGTATTTCAGTACTTTAATGCACAAGGTATATGTAGATTCATCTCACACAGATGAATTTATTTCAAGTATCTACTTCTGTTAAGATTAAAATGTTGCATAAAAGAAACTTTAAGGAAGATATTTGTGAATGGAAATGTTATGCTCCTGTCGCCATAATGTCCATTTAAGGATTTAGGGGGGAAAAAACTCACAGAGTCTATTAAATATTAAGCAACTACCTCAGCAACTACCAAAGCAACATGTTGTTCTTGATTCCTACTGTATAAGGGGGGCAAAGGCTGCACTAACAGTTATTCCTGAAAAACACTTCAGGCCAAGAGTTGAGGGCATATACTGTAGAGCACCTGGATTAACTTTTTTATATTAGAAGTAGGGCTGAACACTATGCCGAAGATTTCGGATTTGCATTATCAATACTGCAAAGGACTGTTTTAAAATTCTGTTAGCTAATATATTTCCAGTTTTATAATTCGCATTTTACAGGCCAAGTCAATATTTAGCCAGTTTGACAGAATCTCAGCCGTAGATAATCACACCGGTTTCAATTTGTTTAAAATGCAATTGGTCTGACAGTGATGGAACTAAAAATAAGAAAGAAAATCCACTCGCTCGAATATGAGCATTTTACCATTGTAGTATTTATCATTGCTATCACCATGGCAACATTTCCTGATATCCCAAAGTCCTCATTAGAACTCAGTCATTAAAATTATCCTTAGTAAAACTGCCTAGTGGTTAGAGCAGAAGGTTGCAACTACCCGGTTTGATCCTCAAAGCCTCCACTCTCGGTCCTTGAGCAAGACCCTTAACCCCACACTGCTCCCCGAGCGCTGCACAGTGGCAGCCCACTGCTCCCCCTAAGGGGATGGGTTCAATGCAGAGAGATAATTTCCCCATTGTAGGATAATAAAGGGATTTACAGATTTGGTGTTTCAGTAATCATTAGTGCGAGTATCCTAATAACCAGAGGGTAGACGCATAAATCCCTCAGTGTGTGATGAATCTACAAACCATTCACTGTATGCCAAACATGTAGTGGGAATATCATGCCCCTGACCCTTTTAGCTTGGTGCTTATTCCAAATGAGGTTACAGGAAAATCAGGGAGTAAAGATGACAGTCAAGTTTATAATTGAAGCAGAGGCAGAAGTCTTTGTTCAGGTCATTAGCCTGTAGGTGTGTTTAGATGCGAATTCAGCCTTGACAGGTGAGGGTCTGATATCCCACAGTAAATATTCTACCTTGTTACATTTCAGAAAAAATAAATTATACGCCTTGAAATAAATAGACTTTCTGGTGATATTAAATATTTGCACCTGCATTGTTCCTTTAGCATGTTTATAGCCAGGCAGAGTCCTGTGAGCTCCTCTTGATGGCCCTCTGGTTATAAAACACTAGATGGACCCATGGCACTGGAAACGTTTAGACCTACTCTAAAGAACAAACCCCAGAAGCATACAGATCTTATTTTACTCAAAATTCTGTGACTACAAAAACCGTATCTGTTCCTACACTAGAAGCTTGGATTACAATGCTTTACTTAGCCATACTAGTGTGTCAAGCTCTTAGGCCTCTAAGGTATTCACACAGACTTTTGGAATTGGTAAATTTCACTGGACACGTTGGAACTTGAAGCCAGGTTGGGAAGGCAGGGAGCCGAACCCACCTTTGGCACAAGTCTGGTTAAAAAGCACTGCTGTTAGACGTGAACTATCAACCAGGACATTAGGATGGAACATGCAACAGTGCCGTATGGTTGCTACATAAAGCCCTTATGTGGGATTTTGGAATGTAATGAAGATTAAAAAATCTTTTTTTTTTTTTCGAAAATAGGGAGGGGGTGGGGTGTTTTTTAATAATCACCTATCTTTTCTTACCCTTCAGCCGGCATGTTACGCACTTCAATACATATGAAAACAGTTTAAAGAATATCAAAAGAAGCTGGGTTTGTTTTTATTGCTGACTGCCTTGTGAGAACAGATGTACAATGCACACCTCCATTTAATATTTATGGCCCCAAAGTGTTGTGGCAAATATAAAATAAGAAACATTAAAATAAAATCAATAAACCAAGTCATGCCTGACAACCTTTTGCCCTCTAAGTGATGAAGATAGGGCAGCATAAGTTTGGATGTGCTTATCGTTTACACCACATGCCGCGTCATCCGTTAGCTAGGAATCCTCCTCCAGGCGTCGGCCTCTTCATCAGTGGTTCTGTTTGGGTGGTTCGGCCCATTCTGCCCAGCAATGCACCAGCAGGACACCAGCAAACCTGGAAGCAGTGTCCAAGAACCATGTTTGCAGCCCTACCCCGGCCCCCGTGTGGATGTCATCCCTCCAGCAGGGACTGGTTGTAGCTCTCACTGACAGGCTCTGTCAGGACGACTGCATAAGGCCCGTCAGACGCTTCCCCGTCAAAGACTTCCCCTGAAAATTTGAATGAAATAGTATCAATAGATCATTTATTATACGGCTGATGTGCTGATAGGGAAAATAGTCTGCAAACTATTAAGCCACAAATTGCTTAACATTTCCCACCTCAAATTTTATATTTTATTCTTCAAGTTATTAAATGTTTATCAAAACTAAATCTGATAGGCTCTTTATGACAATTATATTACAAGGATTTATCATTTGTGCGTTTTTTTCTTTTTGCCAAATCAAGTTGTTTGAAAACTATTTTAAAGGCTGGGAGACATCTATGGATTAGTTTCAAGTTGGGTTGAGAGCAGAGATCAATTTGTGAAGTTAATTACCTGCTGCTCCTTATGAATGGGTATGATTATGTTTTTATAGAACCACGTGATATTTAACATTTCCATATATATATAGATAGATAGATAGATATATATATATATATATATATATATATATATATATATATATATAGTCGATTTCCTTATAACCATTTTTCTGCTTGCAGGAACGAGTTTATGTTTCTGTCAATGTAGAGAAGAGATGAAGCAATGTCCAAATAAAGGGAAGTTAAAAAGGATAAAAAGACATCTTGACTTCATATTGTTTGAAATTTACAGAATGTTTCTATCACTTAGAGAAATTACTGCTAAAATTAAAATCTAAGTAATGTAACGGCTAATGACTTTTTAAAACGGTAGGTAGTTGCTGCTACGTATCAGAAGTATTGTGTTATGTTTAATTTTTTTTCTCTCCTTTTTTCCAAGTTAAATGTTTATATTTTGTCAAAGGATTTTTAATGAAAAAAGTAAGAAAATAACATGTAGTAAATGCATCATGTAGGCATGAAAAAAAAAATGTAGTTATTTTTTTATTTTATTTATCATACATAACCCAAAAATATTTTTTAACTGTAACCAGTTATTTTTTCATATAAATGCATTTAAATCTTTTAAAAGTAGTTTATAGTTTAATGTAAACCTGCATTTTCTGATTATAGAGGGCACAGTTAAAACAAATCAATTTGAGATCCAACACTGATCTCAAATCGTCGTCATAATTCTAGTCAAAAACCTAAATCAACCTAACATCAACGATTTTATTGATGCCATTTTGACATTACTTCAAGAATAAAATTATTTTAAATTCCACTCAAATAACGATATTGACTTTTTTTTTCACATTTATTATGTCATGATTTTGCAAATAAAATAATTGTCCCTTTTTTAAAGATTATTTCTAGACTTTAGTGCTCTTTTGTTATTTTTTTAATCTAGGCTGTCAGGAACTGAGATTAGATAGAGGGGAAGACATACAGCAAGGGTTACCAGGCCAGGGCTCGAACCTATGACTGATGCCATGAAAGATCAACGCCTATGTTCATGGGGCTTAACCTCTCTACCACCACCAGAATTAAAATGTTTTTTGTTTTTCTTTTTCTGTATGTTTGGTCTTTGGGAGAGAATGCCATGGGGAAATTATTAAAGCCATATTGCCATTAAGAACACAACTTGGTGAAGATGATGTCAAACATATTACTAGATCTATAGACACTATGCTTTATGGAATTGCTATTTTAAAGGTCATGTATATCAAACACTGTAAGAAGGCATCTTGCATGCATTTCCATCTTGCAGGACCATCAGATTTTCATCCTGATAAAGATACTGTGAGACTGCGTATTCATCTAAGTCAGGGGCCTGCAACTTTTACTATGCAGAGCAGTTCTTACCTTCAGTCCAGCTTAATAAAAAGGTAGAGCAACAAATGTTATGATTTTGTTGAAAAAAACAACCTGAATGTAGACAAATATCTACTTATCTACCAACATTTTTTGTAAAAGCTAAATTTGGATGGATGCGTTTATTTGGGTGGGATGCTAATGTCTGTAGAAAATAACATTGTTTCCAACCTAATGACAAAAAAAAAGAAACAATCATTTCATATTTCCTTTTCATGATATAATTAATAATTAAACAATTATTTAATTATTTCATATAAAAAAGAGAGATATTTTGCTAAAACCTGTGGTACTAAAAAAAAAACGCTTATTAATTATTTAGAATTTCTTAGCCAAAGTTATTAAAAGCTACTGTGGAAGATGCAAACAGCGACTTGCAGCTCTGAAGCCGCTGGTTGCAGACTTTTGATCTACATAAAAACAAAAAAAACAAACAATTCTTATGAAACAGAGTGGTGGTACAGGGGTGCAGCACAGGACCCATGATCAGAGGCTTTGGCCCTTAATGCTTCATATTCCTGCTTGGCGACCTTTGCTGCATGTCCCCCTCCAATCATAGTTTCTGTCAAGCTACTTATAAAATGAACAATATAGTTAAAAAAAAACATGAACATCATTATTTGATTGGAATTTATAAAAGAAGTTTGATATTTAAGTGACATCAATAAAATCGACAAACTTCAATTTGATGTCAAGTTGAATTACTTTTTGTGACTAGAATTATGACAACGACTTGAGATCAGTGTTTGATGTTTATTGATGTTGAATTAACATCTTGCCTGCTGGGAAGTTTTTTTTATTTTTTATTATTATTATGGTGTATTTTACATACAGGTTGCACCATTTGATCAATGTTATCCCACAAAGTTCTCTTATATCAAATAGTTAATTATAGAAAATTCAGAAGTACAATTTGTTGTGAGTTGTAATTAGTATCAAGACTTTTCTTAAACATATGTACTCATGAAAAAACCCCTTTACCAAGTAAAAAAAATAATTCAATCAAATATTTAAGGAGGAAACTTCTTGAGATCTAACATCTGAGGACCCATAGATCTACTTTGGTGCAACTATTCACATCACTGCATTAATGTACTGTTTACATAAAGACATGCATACACACCTTGAGGAAGCAACAACAGAGTGTAATATGGTTGTAACTGCAAAAGCCACTGATTGTGAGCCAGCCAGTGTGGTTTCTGTGATATGAACAGCCCCAGCTCCAAATAACTTACCACGCTGCGGGTGAACTTCTCCAAGGAGGTGCGACGGCCCTGCTCTGTGTCTGCTGGCTGCTGTTTTGGGAGGGGGGGGAAGCAGGGTGAGTGTTTGGGTCAGGTATGGGTGTTGACGGGACGGAGGTTGGCAGTGGTGTTGTAAAAGAGGGGGATAAAAATAAAAAAGAGGAGGCCAAGCATTGCAGAAAGCGAGGGCCCAGTGCAAGCAGAGCAGAGAAGGTTGCATTTGAGGAAGAGAGTGTAGGATCAGTGAAAGGCCAGCAGAAGGAGCAGTGTACAAATAAGAGAGGGCAGAAAGGCTGGCATGAACAGATGAAGCTGTGATCTGATGAAAAGCTCCATATTACACAATTTAAAAGCTAAAAGGGTTGGCTTTTTAGAGCTTAAACTCTACAGGAAATGCACATAATAGCTTTAAACTAATTGAAACATTAGGCTGCATTTGACAGCCATTAATACATCTATAAAGTCTTTCTATTACGATCCATTTGTTTTTAGCAGACTTCTTGCTTCTTTTTTCAGCCCTGGGTATTTTATATCATGACACTTGGAAACCATAAGTATTAAAAAACAGCAACCTAAAAATGTAATTAATTTCCTGATAAACATGTTACTGACTGTAAACAAATAAGCAGATTTTTTTTTTAAACTTACCTTCCCAATGACATTTGAACTGTTAATATGGTTTACCTTTTATAACTAAATGTGAATATTTTTACTATGCACTTTTATAAATGTAATGCATTTAAAAGTATGAAAGTCAATACAGTTCGGGAAAAACTGACAAATCATTCAAATATTTTTTTCTGCACATATAGCCATTAAATGTTATTAGAATTTCAGAAAAAAAAACACTTTGACATAATCATTGAAGTGTTTTTTTTTTTTTTGTATCTAATGCCATGTGTACATTTTTACATTAAGTTAGATTTGCGCGTCCTTTTGGCTGCTCCCATTTTTACGGGTCTTAGCCAGAAACCTAAAGGAAGTTGAAGGATAAATGAAACATACTAGTGGGGGTACCCACAGTTTTACACAGGTTGTTTTAAAGTATCATTTTTTGTCGCAATAATTCTCTTTTAGTTTGAACCTGCACCATACAGGCATATATGGACTATTGACAAGTAGCATGAGGCTGTGACCTGTTACTGTCAACAGAAATCAGATCTATATTTGCGAGGCATTAATGTCTACATCTGATGTTGTTATTTGACTTTTGTCACAGAAATAAACATACCTATTCCAAAGTGCACGACTGTAAAGGTCACAGCCCGAGGATGATCAAATATGGCTTTTGAATAACAATAGTTTATGCAGACCTTCCCTCGTCTGAAGCTGGCTATCTGTGACATTCTATAGAAGAAGCAATCTGGTCACAATCAGGTTTGCTTTACTTCAGATTATTAACTGAAGAGCATCACTGTTTCCTAAGGGAAATATTATTTTTGCTATAATAGTAAACCAAAACTGGTTCCTGCAATTATCTGAAGTGTGCAGCTATCAGGAGAAACCCTTCAACCTCCCTTAATGTGTATAAAGCAATGTATTTATTATTTTGTAAGTACTAAAGTATCAGATACTGTTTATCCAAAATACAGTTTCTGCATTTCAGCTGCACCTCTCACTGTTTTAACCTTAACCTTTTGTTTACCTCAGCCAGGTGTGCACTGTTAGTCAGTCAGTGCAATGAAGAGAGCTGACACACACTGGTGAGTAATATGGTTTTAATTTTGTCTTGGGAATGTTTATTAAGAACCCAGAAGCATATTTTGTTTGGTGGAAAAGCACAGTAGATTTAAGTTGAAATGGACTGATAAATTAAATAAATCTACTACTTTTCTTTTAAAATATAGGCCTGCTGTTGTGTCATCATGTTTGGTTGGTTTTTACTTGTTGAGTTTCAGTTGACATTTTGATCTAACACTATTTTGAGAGACATTTTATTAGATCTATTCTGGGTTTTTAGTTCTTAAACTTAATTTAAGCTTTTTTGTTTATAGGTCATTTTGAATAAAACATCCAGTTACTTTTCTTTCTTAAGTGCTGACATTATGGGTAACTTGCAATGATTAGTACTGGATGGAATAAGTGCCTTTAGATGGCTGATATTGTTTAATTATTTCCTTATGTTAGTTGGTTTAATTAATACAATTTGAATAATTATCTGAAAACATAAATAGTTCAACTTCTTTAATTTAGTCTATTTATTTCTGCAGATCATAATAAATAGTTGCATGCTCAGCATGAAGCAGAGATCGGCGGAGAACTCACTTTCTTTCTGGCCAGGAGGAGGTCTTGGTAGATGTTGGATCGCAAAAAGCGTGCATAGCTGTCACTTTTCATTAGCTTGAATATGTGCTCCTGCAGCAGACAAAAAAAATAATATATATATATATTTATATATGTCTGAATTGAACCCAACAAGAAAGCTATTTGTGTCATAATAAGGGTAGTATTGCAGACACTGTATGCAGATTCTCTCACATGTGCTCAAAAAACTTTGCATGAATTTATATAACGATTCGATGTGACGGAGCAACAGGAAAGTAGTGCACTGTGAGGTGCATTGGTAATGCTCTGTTTATTGATCCAACTGGTGCATGAATGAAGAAATTTGTTGCTAAAAGCGGAAGTGGGTGAAGTGTTGCTAGAAAGACACAACACATGACCTGTTTACATTAAGACCAGCGCAATCCCCTGTGAACTGAGTGAAGAAGCTATTCATGGTGTTACTCGCCTCATTAGGCCCTGCCACAAACACACTCCATCATCCCCTCTCTTTCTATTTGTTCCACCCTCTCCCTCATTTGTTTCTACAGTTAAAGGTTTTAGATTCCCTTTGTCAAGCGGATAAGATGGTGAAATAACTCTTGGTTTCAGCTTAGTATATATTTCTGCTGTTTATCTCCCTGTGTGCAACCGTTACAACATGAAGTCATGCACATTCATGAGGAAGACCACACAGTCAACCTGAGCATCTTCATAGCTGTATCGCCCAGGGTCTTTGAGGTTCTGGCTGGTCCGCTCATAGCTGTGAGAGTCCAGGTTGATGGAGCTTGGAGCTCCTTCGGCCAAAAACTCCTGCCAGATCTCCTGAGCCCTGGTGGACACCTCCTGGAGCGGCCTTCGCTTCAGATCCTGCACAGCTAACCAGAATCTACAACAGGGTTTAATCCAGTCGTTATATAGTCGGAATGGTTTTATTTATGTATATGAAATCTGTTAAAGATATATCTGTTGAATGTTTGGGGTTAGTCCCACCGCAGATTCTCGGAGCTGAACTCTGATTCCAGGAACTTCAGGAACTGGTCACGCCCCGCAGGGTCCTTCAGAGCCTCCTCCAGGGAAAAGCCCCACTTCTTCACCCGCTGCTGACTGGGATCCCTGCTGCTCAACGCAAAACCAAACCAAAGAGGAGACGATGAGAGAGCAGCCACCAGGAGATTAGTGCAGCACTTAAAGAATTGCACGGCCCAAATAATCAGTCATATAGGACCAGGCCATATCCACCCAACCCAGAAACAAACCTCACCTTGCCTCCAGGTCCCATAAGGTGGTGTCTTCACTAATCCAGGGGTTTGAGGGTTCCGCACCAGACACAAAGGGGTCGTATTCCACAAACTGTTCCGTGTACGTCATCAGGCTGTCGGCCACTTTGGAAACCTTCATACAGTGTCTGTCCAGCTGGATGTTCAAAAAGGTTATCTGAGGGCGGAAGGAGAGAGACAAGAGGGAGCTTAACAAGGTAAGCGCTCATTGGTCTCTGTCTGGGATTGTCTTTATGATGAATGAGAGGCAGAGCAGTGGTAATGAAGCCTGGAACATAATGTCACACTTGCCTCCTTCTGAACATCCTCTTTGGTGGGCTTCCTGTTCGGCTGGGAGCTGATATGAACTGGACTTGGTTGGCTCTGGCCGTCGTCTGGCACCCCGTAGACTGACTGGAATAAATAAGGGAAGACACATCAGGGCTACTGGTTTGTGGTATATGCTGATGTTTTATGTAATCTTAGTGTAACCTTATGTGTTTTTTCCTTCCTGGACTGGCAAGAAACTGCATATGGAATCTTCTGACAAAAAACATAATAAATGAATATTTTTTGATTTGATAAATACTTTTCTAGAGAAAACTATAATTTGCATGATTTCTTTTTCTCCTCCTTTCTGAAATTATTCAAAACCTCTAAATTTTCCTGTTATTAATTTATCAAAACCAAAATAATTTTAAATATCAACACTGAATTTACCATTTAAATGTTGATGTCAGGCAATCTACCCCCAGTTTTTAATTTCTTCAATTACCCTTGATATTAAGTTCAGTAATCTGACTTCTCATGCACAGTGCTGGCCTCTTCCTCACTGAGTGGCCCTTTTTTGGCTGTATGATAACTGGACATTTATTTTGTTTGATTTGTTTATATGACACTTAAATTTATTTTCTAATCAAAAGAAAGTGAAGCCATCCATAGATTTTATTTGATGATTTGGCCAGAACATGTAACATGGTAATTAAACCACTTAAAAAAAAACAATAAAGGGGGGAAAAAAGAGCTTGGAGATATGTGCATATAAAATATAATTCAGAGAAAACAGTGTTCTAGTGATCTGGGACAGTGAGACTTGATGTTCTGTTCAGTGTTGCCTCCGTCTATCACCTTTTTCACCCTGTGTGGGTTCTTCTCTCTCCGACACTTCCGGATGTCCATTTCGGTGGTGTTGACACAGCCTGGCTGTGAGAGACAGCACAAGACATGACGGTTTGGGTCACTGTTGTATGAGCACGTATTGTTTTTGACACAATATGATGCTGCTTTTTTTACTCAGAGGTGGAAGCTCAACACCCAATTCTTTATTTTCTCAATTTTTTATGAATTTTTTGACTTTCTTCCTTCTTTGCTTCCTTTAATCTCACCACAGGTCGATGAACGTCCCAGAACGCCCTCTCTTGGCTGTCAAGGATCTTCCTCTCTGCCTTGTCTTTCTTTCTGTCAATCCTACAAACAGAGAAAACAGCTCACTAATACAGCATATAGAACTGAAACATGAGGTCCAACTGCATTAATTCAACATGCTTCTGCCTTAGATATAAGGAGGCGTCTCTCTGTCTCTCCTTACTAAATGGCTGCAGCCTCAAGAACAAAAGAAAACTGAGGAGTCTAGGTCCTGATCTATCTGGTGTTTTCTCTGGAGAGACCAAGCCCTTACATAACTGACATTTACTGATCGGCCCTCTGCTTCATGTTGACATGTGGAGACTCATGATTTCCTACATGGACCTTACTCCTGTCAAACAGGAGCAAATGATTGATGTCGTGATTTGTTTTATTGTATTTTCACTGACAGCAGAGGATAAAGTGTCCTGACTATGTGACAGTTATTCTTTTTTTGTGCTTACACATGCCAACCACCAGATAGCAGCCTCACAAAACAACCCAGGGCATATGTGTTTCAATCCACAGGAGAATTACTGTTAGAATAACAGAAACTGATGTGTTGAAGCGAGATAGGATTGACGTTTGCACTCACTTGACTTGAGCCTCAGCTTGCATGAAGATGAATTCCCACTTCCGGGCAAAAGCCCTCTGCAGCCGAGCCAGGTTCTCCTGCAGGACACAATTTGAAACGGCTTTTTGGGGAATTAATACAAAACTTTTTACTCCAACCGTTGAAATGTTTCTCTATATACTCTGGCTTTAATAAAGTCCTTATACCTTTGAACCATTCCACTTTTTGTTTCATTACAACCATAAACATTTAGTTTAATATAATTAGAATAAGCACCAAGAAAGTGTGTCCCTACCATATATGATGCATATCATGAATAAAATTAGTCTCCATCTGTCTTTGTAAAACTCACTGAGCAAACTTGAATTTGAGTGGAATTTGATGGAGGTCATGTGACCTCTCTTATCTTTAGGCCTAAGTTTTGACTTGGCTATTCTAATAAAAGAATGGGCTTTAATCTAAATAATCACATAGTAGCTCTGGTTGTATGTTTCTAGTCGTCCTGCTGGAAGGCAACCTTTGCTCCAGCCTTATGTCTTCTCCAGCCTTTAACAGGTTTTGCTCTGGGAATGCCATGTATGTGCTTCATTTTTATTTTCCATCAGCTCTGAGCTGGAGTTCTGAGCTGCTTCGTTCACCCAGATGAAGATTACCGACCCTACAGCACAATCCTGGCAACATCAATGTGTCGATGGCTAACTTGGATGGATATATTTTTATTTCTATTATTTTTTACATCAATATAAAAAAAAAAGTATCCTGTCACTTCACTTCCTTTTTTTTTCAAATAAAATATCCAATAATTTACTCTAAATTCATTGAGGTCAAAAAGACACACATACATTTTCATGGCACAATAACCAGCTCTACGCCTCATGGTAGTACATTTTAATTCTTAGGTCTGTTTTGAACAGGCTTCAATGCGCTGATGTTCAGTAGCCTCAAATATATCGGTGGCAGTTTTACATTTATTAAAACAACAAAAGTTTGCTGTTAGATTGTATCCATGTGTCTCTGTTAATATTGCAAAAAGCATACATCAAGTTAACCTAAATGAGAAACCTCGTCACAAAAAGAAAATTTCCAACCAGCAGGCATGTTAACAGTGAGGGCCATCATTCCTGGAGGCATAAAATGTCCTGAATTGAAGTGGAACAAAGTGTACTGTACAATAGTTGCAGAGTCATTTGAACAGTTTAAGTGCAGTAGATTGCCACTAAGCTCAGCAGTACGGTAACACCCCTCTTGGGGGCATATTGATCTGCTGATGCCAAGTCAGCCTGCAGATATTTTAGGGTATGTTTCGTGGCCAAGAAATTACCGGCATTAAATGAAACTCCTGGAGCGTAAATCAGACATTTGATAAAGGCTTGATGCCATCTCCAGGCTCCAGAACACATGATTTGATATTTTTTTTTTTGCTTGCTGTAAACTTGCCAGTGGTTTTTATACCAAAATAACATTTTACTTACTGCTTCATAGTCAGCGAGCTCGAGCCTGGCTTTATTCTGCATGGTGCGCTTGCACAGGTAAATGGCTGGAGGGGAGAAGGAAAATGAAAATTTTTAAAAGACCTGATATTTTATAAGAAAGGATTGTTTCAAATACATACATTTTATTTCAACCAACAACATAGGGGTTTAATCAAAAACTAGGGATTATTTACTTAATTCTGCAAAGCTGTTATGTGGTCAAACATGTCCCTGCGTCTTGATTTGTCACACTAATCCTATCCCGTAGGGTTCTCTCTTGTGGATATTCCTCAGGGCCAGATACATTACAGGGAATGGCCCCATGGATCAATAAGTAGTGAGTGTCAACAGCAGCGCTACAGTGTGAGCTGTGTTTAAGCTTTGGAGATGCTGAAGGCATCAAGAAGACCTCAGCAGGTTTTGAGAAGGAGGTGAAAATCGACAAGGTGTGACTCACCGTAATCTGTGTTCTCAGGTTCCCAGCAGTTTGAAGGCCAAAAGTATGGAGACTGAATATGAAAAGAGTTTAACAGAAAAAAAAAGTTTATTTTCCAGTTTACAAACTAAATGTCTCAATCTCTATTCTGTTCACCACTTCCAAAATATGTCAGATGTTAACGTGAACTTATCAAAGACATGACTGTCATGTTAGTTTATACCTTTAAAGATAAAATTAATTGGATTAATTGATTACTGAAATAATCGTCAACTAATTTAGTAATCGATACATTATAGTATAGTATATAGTATAGAAACTCTAAAACATGCCTGCAGCTGACAGAGCAACGCACTTAAAGTAGTAATTACGCCATGATGGTGAACAAAAATATATACAAACATTTTGCATTTAAGATTTAAAAAAATCTGTTAATATGCTCAATCTAGAGCTCCTCAAGTTGGAAAGGTTTCAGCGTCACCTGGTTTCATTTCATAAAAAGCCCTCCTTAATGAGTATTTGGCTATCCAGTTATTAATTGAAAAAATAATCAACAGATTAATCAACTTGCAAAATAAACGTAAATAAAAATAAAATAATTTGAATGATTGCTTCTCCCAAATGCAGCCTCCATGAGTTCTTAAAACAGTTGGGTATAAATAATTATTTTGACAGAATGTAATGTAAGTGTCCCATGGTCCTTTATTGCTCTTCTTTGTAATTTGATTGTATAGTTTTGTCACTGCTAGTGTTCTATAATCGTGTAGATTTTGATGTAGTTTCTGTTATGTTCTAGGTATTTGTCTTTTTAATGACTTGTCTTGTCTTTATTCTCTTTATGTCTGATAAGTTCTGGTTTATGGTTCCAGCTCCTCCCCAAGCCTTCGTGCTCTGTAAGCTCTTTAGCTTATTAAAATTCACCAACCACATTGAGGTAGCCCCTCTCTTGCTTTCCAATTTGGTAATAAAATATTAGTTTATTTAAAAAACTAAATCCAGGATCAAAAATACATGTGGATTTCAGTTAGCAAGTTCTTCAACACACTTTTTAAATGAATCATCAAGGACTCGTTTGGCTTGATATTTTATGGCTTATTTTTGTAAAACTTGTAAAGTTTGTTTAAATGTCTTGTCTCCTCACACAGGACTACATTTTAAACATTGCTCATGAATTCTCAACTCATTTGAGGTCAGTGGCTAATTTAAGGCCTTAATCTTTATTAGAAAATCTTTGATTTGTTTCTTTAGCGACAGGCTGAGATCAAGCTACAATCATCTGATCCTAATGTTAACCTGACTGAAAAATAGCCAGATATTGCTGTATGTTTTAGAGCAAGTCAGGAACCACCATAAACGAAGCCCATTAAGATGCAGGGAAACAATCTGGAAAACCAGCATTGCTGTTCAATGAGAAGCAAGTATAATATAAGCATGAACTAAGTAGATGCAAACCAAGGAAGAAAAACATTCTCTAATATTGATACCTTCAAGCTCAAGTGAAATTTGTAGCAGCCAACCGGTAAAAATGGCCTTTGCAGAAGGTTTTGCAGTCATATGAGGTAAAGGTTGAACCATTTGTCTGGGTCAGGCTTATGTATTAACCCAAGAACACGATACCAATTGTCTAGCATGGTGATGGTGGCTGATTCACTACTTGTGCATTGCATTGGATAAAGTTTATTACCTCCAAATTCATAAATTTCTCCTTAAATCATCAGCTAGTCATTTCAAATGTTGTCCTCACTCTGTGTCCTGACACCACAGTGACCTGAAGAATACATCAGGGCTGGTTGGCCAAATAGGCTAACAGCACTGAATGACACCAGATTACCATATGCCCTCCCTATTTCAGATCTTAATAGCAGCATAAGTTACCATAAATATGCAAATAACAAAAAGCCGTACATTATATTGTCACCAGGTGAATATGAACCCAAATGACTTTAATTTATGGATTTCTACAGGTGTGTTTAAACTTTGGACCAAAGGAAGATTGTTCAAAAGTTACCACACAGCTTCAGTTAATACAGCTAGAAACCCCCAATGCCAAAAAAGCCCAAATCTGGGTTTAGTGAAGGAGTAAGACCTGAACATCCAACGGCAAATTACGATGAAAATAAAGTTGGCCTGTGTTAACTAAAGAACTCAGGGATCAAAGGACTAATCTCTCAGCAGGACATTAAAAAAAGTATTCATGTCAGGTCTGCCTGAAATGTTGATCAGACGGCTGCAGTTGATCCAGAGTGCTGCTGTCTGCATCCTCACTAAAACTAAGAAAGTTGAGCACATTACTCCAGTTCTAAAAAAGTTAAACTGGTTCTCCATATTTTAGAGAATAAACCTTAAAATACATCACTTGGTCTATCAATCACTGAGCTAATTTTGATCAAAAACACTTTACAGATCTGCAAGTATATCAGACCCCTATGGTCTTCTACTCTGCATACCTACCACCAGAAAAATACACAGAAGCAGCTTAATTCTCATGCTCCACTTATCTGGAATAAACTCCCCGAAAAACTGTAAAAGCACTAAAACCCTGTTACTTAAAACCAAGATTAAAAAGTTGTTTTCTTAGATTGGGCTTTGCTGTGCTAATTGATAACATTTTTAGTACAACTTTCCATTTTAACTCAGTTACTTTACATACTTATGTAATCATTTAAATTTAATTATTCACTATGAATTCAGTATAATTATTAATGATGCCTCTATAGCACTGCAGAGTACTTTTCTCATTCTTTTTTCCCCATTTACAGCATTTTAAATTGTCTTACTGCTGAAATGTGCAACATTATTAAACTAGCCATGCCTTTAAGCTTCTGAAAAGGCCCAAACACAAGTGAAAACTCATAAAAACATTTATTTAAATGAAGAGGACAGTTTCCACTGACATATTGAGATTACAAAGGACACACAGACATATTTCCTTAACTATTAGCAATGGAATAAATATATTTTTGAGCCTATATGTACCTGTGAGCATTGAAAAACCATCCCAATAGATTCAGAGTCCTGCATATAGTTCTTGATTTAAAAAATATGTCGATGTTGCTTTGTTCAGATTCATAGTTAAATCTCAAGATTTATTAACATTAATGCATGTAAGTGTATGTAGACTTATGACCTATAATACACAGTTTACTCCCTTAGCTTTATTGTGATCAAAAGGTAAGCAAATAGTTCAAACATGATCTTTACATGCATTTGGCTACTATAATTACCCATGAAGAAATGGTAAAATCTATTCTCGTGGTTTGTCTATAACTCCCTATTCTAGCTTAAAATACAGATTCAAAATTCCTTCCGGAGTCCATTCATAATTGATGACTTCAATTTGTCATGCATTCTTAATAATGGGACAGAATTAGAACCACATATTTCATTTACACTATTTGTCATGAAGATAATTAGCCTGAGGAGAGAGCTTGATGCTGATGAATGCACCTGTGTGAACGTAAGAACCCGCTCTCACTCAGAGCTGTCGGCTTAAAATAAAGCAGCCCATTCTGTAACACAATGCATAAAAGTGTGACAAACAGTGGAGGACAGCCACCATTAAATCTGGGTCCTCTACCCGTGTGGTATCTATTTTAAGGCTTCCACTGTCTCTTGCAGTGCTGCTGTGTAGATTTCCCAGTACGTTCGAGATGCACTGTGGATTCTTTGGAGAGGTTTTAGTCCGTTGCATCAGAGGGAATATTTTTGGCCCCAGCTTAATGCGCAAGTTTTGCTTTTCTTGCACAAACACCATAATAGCTTTTAATCTTAGTCAATAGAAGGGCAGATAAATACTTTCAGAGACAGACTGTAGATGAAAGGTAGGGAAACTTCGCAGCTTCCCATCTTGAGGCTTGCCAGTCAAGGATCGCACTGCGTATGACGGAGCAGATAAACACCTTACAGCTGACCCATAGGCTCTGCCTTGCTGCCCTCCTCCTGCTTTGATACAGCAGGGGTTCGCTGTATACTATCGACCTTGGTGGATGAGTAATAGGCTTAGGAAGGATTGCTCTCAGTAGCTTTGCACAGTAAACACATCCCTCAGATAAACAACCATCATCTTATTATTCTACACTCAAAGGCTTCCCAAAGCCCATCAAGGACAGCCCCGCAGCAAACTTATCTGTACCTGAAAGCGGTAAAGAGTTCCATCATCCTTCAGAGTCAGGACATGGTCAGAGATGGGAAAGATGTAGCCATGAGCTGCAATCAGACTACCGAGGTGGATGGCTTCAGCTAGTGAGAGGAGAGCAGGTGAAATAAATGATCTTGCACCACTTTGTGTGTACATGCACTGCAACGTCTCTCAGCAGGCCTACCTGGATCCTCAATGGAAAGGTTTTTCATCAGCCACTGAACTATGTCCGCCCCTGTTTTCAAGAGAACAGCATTGGTCAGAGAGGATGACACAATTACAAATCTGCAGCAGCTCAGACATAGGCTGCCTTTAAATCTGTCAGTGTTGAATAGGTGTCTAAATATAGCATATTGTTGACAGGTTTGCTCTGCCATCTCTATCTGCTCCTGGGCAGCAAAACATTCGGCCCCCCTGTTGGGGCTCAGCAGAGGCAGCTGGAAAAGCCTGGAGGAGACCATGTGAAGGACTGACTCAGACGCAGCCTCACAGAGAGACGGAGCAACCTCCACATCCTTAACAGAGTAGCACAAACATCAAGAAATGCAGCACGTACACAAATAGGCAAACAAAGAGGAGACTGAGCTTTCTCTGCATTGTTGGCAAGGACAGGATCAAACAGGCCTGCAAAGACAATATCTGCTTCCTTCTATGAAGGAAAAAATTAGCACAAAAGGTCAAACATGTATAATTTATTGTGACTCATATTTTTTGCATAGTCAAACCGTTGGAAAAAAAAACATGATAGCAACCAGCTGATTGGTTGGTAAATGTTAAAGCACGCACACACATGCACATTTATGGTTTTCACACAAATACGAACCTGATACCACACTCGGGATCTTGGAGAGGAAGCTTTTAACAGTTCGGATGGCAACCCCTCCTGCTTTCTCATCTTGTATTCGTGTAACGATGTCTTCCATCTGTGAAGCACAAAGATAGAAGTTGCTCATGTTCTAACGTTTGGCTAAAAGTTTCAGGGGCACCACAATTTACTCCAACTTTCAGTGTAGATTTGCAATACGGTGAATGGATTACATGTAAAACAATACATTTAATAAAAATCCCTCTTATTGTCCCACAATGGGGAAACTGCAGTGTTACAGCGGCAAAAGATTATAGCAGAATTGGTCACACAATGTGGACCTTAAAAAAAACATAAAAAAAACCAAAACAGATTAACTGACAAAGTTATGAAAATAAATTCCGTAAAAATTCAAAAAAATATGACTATGACCTGGATGACTGAGCACCTTCATCAGCTTATGAAAATAAACAAATAAAATACTGTACTAGATATCATACTGTCAATTAACATCCACATGTGATTTGAGTGTTTTTCCCTGTTTTTGGAAAAGAATCAGGAAAAAGTTTGATTAGGCTTCAGCAAAAGTCAAAAGACATTCTCATACTTTCATGACTGACTTGCAGCCCTACTTAATATTTGCATGAATGATTTGCTGAGCCACTCACGAATGCTTTTGCAAGATAACAACCTTACAATTGGAGCCAAACTATGTGTCATATGCATATATTTTTCTTGGTTAAATATTCTGAATATATATTCCTTTGGTGTAAGCAGAAAATCATTATGTTTAATATGTGTGTTGGGATCTTCAGGTACCTGATCAGCTGAAAAATGTATACACAAACATATATATGTATATATTTATTTTTAGTTTCTTTGTAATTCTGTCTCTATAATTGTTTGGTGGCAGCGTTGTGTTTTTTTTATTGCTCTCTGTTGCCCCCTTGTGCCTTTTTCCTTTCCCTTTGGCTCCCTTCTAGTTAGCTCTATTCACACCTGCGCCTTATCAGCTCATTTTTCCATTCATTGTTCTGTTCCCCATATATATACCACCTCTGCAGTTCCTCATTGTTGATTTCTTGTTGGTTTGTTGCATCATTTCCTTGCTCCTATGTGTGTTTTCCTTGATATCTCCTTCATTTTTGGTTTTCAGTATTATTTTTTTTTTACTTTACTTCTGTAGCCTTTGGGATTTTGATTAAATCTCATCCGTGCCTCCTCATCTCTGCAATTGGGTCCTCAAGCAACTTCCACTAAACCCTGACATATATATATATAATGGTTGATATGTAAATGTGCTCACGTATGCATAATAATAAAGATATGCATACTGAAAAATATAAAAGGAAGTATTTGTTGCTCATGTTCTCACGTTTCCCCAAAAGTTTAATGGGCATCATAATTTACTCCAGCTTTCAGTGTAGATTAGCAGTAGGGTGAAGGGATTACACATAAAACAATACATTAAATATAAAATAAAATATAAAACAAAGCATTTGATGTTTAAATCACCTCCTGTTCATCGTTTAGCATTGGTGTATTGTTGTATATGTCTTTACAATCAGCAAAGGAGGCAGGTCTGAAATCTGGGGTATATAGATTTAAGGTTTTGTTGTTTTACTGTTAATTTATGTAAGATGCAGAGGCCAGGCTACAGTACATGCTGCAGCTGACACATCATATCCAATTCAACCCTTGATAAATGGCTTGAAGCTAAGCTGTTTAATTTGCAAGCGTCTCTGCATGACAGCAACATAAATGGTTGTCCTATAGGATGTTACGCTTTGTAAAACTTAGAATCTCAGACAAAATGTTTGTGTGACAATGTACAGCACAACCGTACACTGTGTGTTAAGGTGCAGGATGGTGGTCAAATATTTAAGGTGATTTATTTGGCCACAACTATTGTTTAGAAGTTTTCCAGAGCTGAAAAAAAGCTGTCATTATTAATCTCAGAGGCGAAGATAAACATCACACCTCCAGCCGAGCCAGAGCCTCAAATACATCTCACATCAGCTGCCTAAAATTAGGCACATCCTGACACAACTTGCTATGCAGCCACCATCACAAAGCAAGCAAGCACACATTCTGTCTTTCAAGGACAAACATAATACATCCTCATAAGGAGTCATAATTTATTATTATTACACTTTACTAATATGCAGTTTTAAATTGAAATCTTAAATGATTTATGAGGCAGGTAGGACGGCTGATGGAGCCTGACTAGAATCAATTAAAAATCCCATGGTTATTTACACAGAGCTGTGTACCTACAGCCAGCTTAATGCAGTACTTTCCATCAAGGTAGTTGGGTTGCGTAATAAATATCTTATATCTCGCTCAAAGTCCGCTCAAAGAGTAAGCACAGTCAGATACACACATGCACTCACACACAAATGGCTGCTTGCGTAGGTCGGTTTACGAGGAACTCTTGGGATCCCTGCAATCAGAATGTTAAGACAGCCTTTTACAGATTTATTTTTATGTCAACCCCCCCTACAGTTTAGGCTGACGTCAAGTCACGAAGTCTGGCTCACATCATCCCGCTGCGCTCTACAGTTTGTGCCATTTCTGTGCACTTCTGGCCACTTGCACCACAGTTCATTCATCATTTAAGAAAACAACTCTGTAAGGGAAAATCTTTAACTTACATGAAGAGGATGAATTTAAAATGCAGTTAAGCTGCTTCAAAGAGCACACCAGTCAGTGCTGGTTTGCACTGTTAGCCCTAACCTTATTTGGCTGTAGATGCATTCTCCACTTTCACCTGTACTGAAATATTTTGCAGAGTATTATGGTAATATCATGATAAAGTTCTCTAGAGATATTTTATTCTGAGAAAACACGTATTACAAACTTTAATTACGTCTCTTCTTGTTCCCATTTGCCTACCAAAGTTACACAAGTTAGACATCTTAACTATTTACCAATATTTGAGACATTTTACTCTAATGGGACTTTTTGTTTCACTTAAAGAAATAGTTTGATCCTTGCAGATTGGATGAAGTGAATGTTTGTACAGGAGTCTCTCTGTGGACAATGAAGCTGTCGTACCACAAGGTATTTTCCCATGGCTCATTTGCTCATTTCACAACCAAGATAGATCCAATTTCAGATCTCAATCTTGAATCCCAGACACCAGCGGCTGAAGGCTGTCTCCGCAGGGTGGCTGGGCACTTCCTTAGAGATAGGGTGAGGAGATTAGTTACGCGGGAGAGGCTCAGAGTAGAGCCGCTTCTCCTCCACATCAAGAGGAGTCAGCTGAGACACATCTTTCTCGCTGCGCCCTGAAAACCTCCCTCAGAAGCTGTTCCAGGCACTTTGCACCGGAAGGAGGACCAGGACACATTAGGGGAACTGTCTCTAAGCCGGCCTGGACAAACCGCAGACTTTCGTCTCTTCAGCTCCTCTAGAGGTGTGTGGAAAGAGGGAAGTCTGGGAGCCTCAGCTGAGACTGCTCCCCTTGCGACCTGGTCCTGCATAAGTGGAAGATGATGAAAGGGGTTCTTTTATGGGACACAGAAGCCATCTCCTTTCTGATCAATATAAAACTTGAATATCTTATCGTTTTCTAACATGCATAAATCTGAAAAGGTGAACTTGGGATCTTAAGGCATCTGATAAGGATCAATCAGAAATAGGGTTTTCCACTGTCATTAAGAAATAACTATGGAATTCATTTTATTTTAGCTCATTCATTTAGATTTTTCTATAAAGTCAAATGGCAACAACTTGTTTGAACCTTAAAATACATAAATAAACGGGCCTACATTTGACTCAAGTGTTTTCATTAACCTTAGATGTCTGCAAAGCCAAGACATCTTTTCCAAACTAAGCTTATTGCTCAATTCATTAAACAATGCATCTAAACACTTCTTCCATTGTTCTGCCATTTACCAAATATAGCAGAAATGATTGTGGTATGGCAGATGACCTAAGAAAGGAAAGGTTTACACACATTCACTGACAGACAGGGAGTGAAAAGGGTTCTGTGTTTTATTGAATGTGTATGTAAATATCTGGTTTTAATTCATTATAATCAAAGCAAAGCTGATTCAGCCTTTGGAGCAAATTAGTAATTTAAGTTACTATATTACCAGCATTTTGGTGATCAGAAAAATCTGTATTTAGGCCATTGTTTTTACCCATGGTATAGTTGCATGAGCTGTTGAACTGTTCAAAAAACTTGCTTTGTTACACTGCTGTGTTTTTTCTTCAACAGAATTATTCACAGTCTCAAAATATGAGAAATGTATTATTATCAATCAGTTATGGTACACTGCTTCAATTTTCAAACAGAAAAAAACATTTACTGAAGTATGCTGTACCCTATTTGCTCGAAAATAAAATACAGTCAAAACTCATCCTCTTTCCTTGTAGAGCTTTACGTTGATTCTTTTTAGAACTACTCTCCAAATCGATAGCAAGACACATTTTTATTGCATATTTTACAGCATCAAGCTGGAGCAAAATAGTTTTGTGGTGGAATAATTCCTAATATCTCAGCTTATCAAAAGGCATTGCAATGGATTTGTGAACATTCGCTGTGAAGACTCCCCGCTTTAGCTTTGCTGATAAATCCCTCAGGAAAGGAGCAGAAAAAGAGCTGTACAGTAGGAGGAACTGTTTTTGGCATTCAAGAAATTGGAATCTGCATGATGATGAGGCTCGTTAAGCTTATGTTAGACTTTTTGTTTTATATGAAGCCCAAATTTATGCGTTGAATATGTTTTTTCATTGGGGGATGTAATATTTAAATTGCAAATGTTGTGTCTTTAGCTGTAACCACAAAGTTCATCATAACTAGAAGGAATGAAGGCTTGGAAACCTGTTTCTCTCAGTTAGTTTAGTCACATAACCAAACTTATCGATAATACTTTAACTTATTGCATATGACTGTATATTGTTAAGGAGCCAACACCAAAACAAAAATTGTGACTTTTTTTTAGATTAAAAGTAACAATATAATTAAAAAGTAACAACTCTAAAATCAGTACAGTTTGATCTTAAGGACAAGCTCAATCCCTCTTGATAAGTAGAATTAGAAGAAAGACATTCTTGTTCTCATTAAGAAAAAAAAAACATGTCTAAAGTACTACTGAACTAATTTTTTTA